GATAAACTCTGAGCGTCACATAAATGAAGCCTATAAACCAAGAAATAAATAAGGGCATCTCCCATTTCTATTAAGCGGCACTACGATAAAATCCATTCGACTATTTTTTCAAAGTGTGTACCTGTTGTTTTTACATAGTAGCTTGAACATGCTGTTGTTATTACTACAACATTGTACATTGTTCTACATTTACTTATTATTGTGTTCGGTTAAACCAATTGTGAAAAATTCGTGGCCTCGGTGTGCTACAAACCCAAACAGAGAGGAAGGTTTTTTTTTACGGCAGACGCTCTATCATTAAGCTACGAAGGCACGCCGAAACTTTGAATTTAATCACACTTGGGTCGATTTACCTACCCAGCCTACTGCTTCGGCTTCCCTTCGTAGCTTTATAGCAGAGCGTTGGCTGTACAGAAGCCTTCCCTGCTGTGTGGGTTCAAATTTCACCGAGGCCACGCATTTTTCAACATTCGGTCAACTGAATCATTTAAAGCTCCCGAACAATCGTAATTACACGATTGTTTTATTTATTGGTCCCTTTTATTGTTTTTTATTTTATTATTGCTTTTAAACATGGTTTTTGTACGGGCATTAACTTTCGTTCAACTGATCCATTGGGAGACACTATGGCGCGCTTAATTAATTCATAAAATTGGGCGACCTTGGGGTTTGTGGTTGGTTTATTTGGTTTTATTTCCTGCATTTTGGTTTTTGGTTGTTCACTTGCTTCTGTCAGTTGGTCTGTGTGAAATTTTGGGGATACAAAAAGCCCCATTATTGTAGATCTGTATTCATTTACTTTAAAACCGCTGAACCAGCTTTTAAAGTTTCTGCGACTTTTCAGCTATAGCAGGGACAGAACCCAGAAGGCTAGCGTCGCTGCGATATCGCTGCGATGGGATATCCCATGGGATACTGCAGTAGATCCGTCGCGCTGATTTGTCCCTGCATTGCGAGCGCACAAAATACAATTGTTCATTAACGAACGGATGTAAATGTGATATTCGATAGTCGATTAGTGTGACTTCCGCGTAATTAGCATCTTATGTTTTCGTATTGGAACGGGATGTCGGTAATCGGATTAGATCTGATCCGATCTAGCTCGAGCTAGCATTTTCCCAAAAAAGGAGGTCATGATGCTCTTCAAGTACCGTTTTCCTACTTAACTAACAGTACATAAGGTCTAAATATTAATCGCTCAAACTTGTTCCTCACAGAAAACTCCGTCAAAATAATCGAGGTTCATTGCCTATAGTAACCATGCTGTATTCGTTGGCCGATTTACTGGTTGCGAAGCGATTTTGCAAGGGAATTGAAACAGCAATCTTGGAAGCAAGCCAGCTCAGTGGCCCATCAAGTTCTCACAAATATTACCTATCCAATTTGTTTGAAGTTATCTTCAACAGGAAATCAGAGGTTGGTTATAATTCAATAATTTCCCTTCATTCAACCCTAGCACTGCCGTAAGTTGCGCATCAATAATCCCGATGCGGTAAAAAGGAAACTTACTCGCATGATCGCTCTGGGAAAGGACAATCTCCAGGTAAGAAAGCTTTTAGAGGTTAATGTTGCTCCTCAGGTTATATCTGACTTTGACTGGACTATGTCGAAGTTCGTTCACAAAGGTGAGCGTACCCCCTCGTGTCACGGAATCTTTGAGCAGGCTCCCGATATGTCGTTGGAAATACAGAACCAGGTAAGTCATACGAAGTCATCTAATTGAAATTCCTTTCAATAGTTACGTATTCTACAAAAAACTTATGAACAGGTTGAATGTGATCCAACTATTCCAGTTTCCACAAAGATTCCACTCATGGTGGAGTGGTGGGATTTAGCGCAGAAAGCGATCGTCAAGTCAAATGTACATAAATATACACTGAAGGCAACTGTAAATCAGTGCAACCTTGCCTTAAGGTATGCTTGCATTTTCCAGTAACTGCATTAAATTTGCCAACTAATCTGATTTTTGCATAGATGTTGGTTCATTGTGTCAGCCATTCTAAAGTATTATCTGCGTCAATCGTTTTGATACTATTCTGAAAGTTTCACTTGTCGGACGCAGATTGCATTATTGCAGCTTTACCCCCGATCCCTAATATTTCCTTAGCCTTCTACGCGAAATCGTTAAGAATCACGAGTTTTTCATAAGTCGCCCAAAAGATACTCCCAAGCACGGAACTTTTCAACTTCAATTTTGCCTGAGCACGTAGTCCTACATGTAATCGTACGACTGGCCACGCCCACATTTGCCGACAGTTTCATGCATTGTCAAGCCTGATACTACAATAGCGTTAGAACTTATCGGTTAGGCAAGCAGTAGTTTCGAACAGCAGCGACGGTGCTACGAGGACACGTAAGATTGATGCCTGTCATACTGACTACTTCATAGAACAACTAAGTCTGTTTACTAGCATTTTGGTAGCGAAACACCAATACAATTGCCCCCACTGTCACTGTGTTAGGTCCTTAGCGGAAGCGCTGGAAGATGTATCTTGATTAGGCAACCGGTATACTCAATATCCCCCAGCAGCTTGACTAGAATATGGTAACATATTATAGGGATCACCACTGAAAGTATAATCCTCCAGAATTCTGTAAGAACGGGTTAGGTTTTAATAGGGGTTATTGGGGTGGGGCATTGCGGAAGCTCCGTAATACACAGTAGAATATGTAACCCAGGCATCGCGGCTTGTGCTATGGTGTCGGTGGGAAGCGACACACCCTAAAAATGGTACGGGCAGGTAGTGTGCAGTCCGGAATACTCAACCAGGAACGTGCTATTGGTGCTGGGTGTCGAATGCGCAAATGCTCCTGGACCACGAAACACATAGCACACCTGAGCACGACCTTCTAATCATTGCTCAGCCTTGACTTCAAATAATTTCTTTCCACACACCCTCTTAATCGTGTCTTCTGTAAATAAACAAACTCGGAGGCGTTTCGGACGCCTTCAAAAACCACATTGACCAACCAAATGAATACTTACATAGTGTGCATTTTTATATTGATCCTGAATGCACTTATAAATTCAAATAAGCTTTATAAGATAAATCCTCACAAATATTTTTCCCTATAATCATCCAGAAGTTAATCAGGTGTTCTTCGAATTTTGTACTCAAAGAAAAGCCATATTTAGGTTCTAAATATGTTTTTGCTTATGATTTTTCAAGAATATACAGTATCCACTATTACCGCAGCGGAAGGTGTTGGTCAGGATGGGGCGGTGCTCTGCGCAGGTTCATAAGAAGAGCAGTCCAGTTTCATTAAAGCCGTCGAGACCGTGAAAGCCCAGCCCTCCTCTCCACGCACTATGGTCTGTGTCGATGCGAGCGTTCACGTCACCAAAGACAAGCAAATTGTCCACCTTCGGCACAGTTGCGAGGAGGACATGCACATCCTCGTGGAATCCGTTCCTTGCCTTGTCACAGCTGGTCATCGAGGGGGGAGGGGCGCAGGCACTGAAGATGGTGCCGAATTTGTGACCCTGAATAAAGAGGAGAAGACTCACCGGTCGATCGTTGATGCCCTACGGAAGACAGGGCGGGCCTCCCACAACATCGCGTCGCTCTGCCTGTGGACAGCCGTTTCAGAAGCAGGTGTAACTGGTACCCTCCTCCTCTGGTTTTTATTGATCGGA